CGGTGTTCTGTCTGTGTTGCAGGTATAGTGACGGTGTTCTGCAGTCGTCTGGGTTGGCACAACATGGAACTCTTGCTGTCGCAGTTTCAGAGCCGCTTGACATTTGGCGTGCAGCGCGAGCTCTGCGATCTGGTCCGCCTGGACCTGCTTAACGCTCAGCGGGCCCGAGCGCTCTACAATGCCGGTTTCATTACCATCAGCGAACTCGCCAGAGGGAACGTCACTGACGTGGAGGCGGCACTGAAGAACGCAGTGCCCTTTAAAAGGTGAGTGACCCTGTCTGCTGTACAGTCTGACCCCCTCCCCCCCCCATCTGCTACAAAATGCTGCAGTGTAGGAGAAGCAGGGAGCCGGCCCTGAGGTTCGGGTGGGCATTACTGTTTTTTTTAGCACTTAACCTTTGCAGTGCACAGTGTTGGGGTAGCCCCACTGCAAGGGCTAAGGACACTTTTGCCCGGAGTTCTTCTTTAAGTAGCGTCTGTTCTCCATCCTGGTTTTCTACATGTGTCATTTTTTTTATCGTTTTGTCTACACGGTAGGTGAAGGAATTGGGGTGTTCTGAGGGGTGAAGGAATTGGGGTGAAGGTGCAGGAATTGGGGTGATTTGAGGGGTGAAGGTGCAGGAATTGGGGTGATATGAGGGGTGAATGTGCAGGAATTGGGGTGATCTGAGGGGTGAATGTGCAGGAATTGGGGTGATCTGAGGGGGGAAGGTGTAGGAATTGGGGTGATTTGAGGGGCGAAGGTGCAGGAATTGGGGTGATATGAGGGGTGAATGTGCAGGAATTGGGGTGATCTGAGGGGTGAATGTGCAGGAATTGGGGTGATCTGAGGGGTGAGGGTGCAGAAATTGGGGTGATCTGAAGGGTGAAGGTGCAGGAATTGGGGTGATCTGGGGGGTTTAGGGGCAGAAATTGGGGTGATATGAGGGGTGAAGGTTCAGGAATTGGGGATGATCTGAGGGGTGAAGGTTCAGGAATTGGGGATGATCTGAGGGGTGAAGGGGCAGGATTTGGGGTGATATGAGGGGTGAAGGAATTGGGGGTGATCTGAGGGGTGAAGGTGCAGGAATTGGGGTGATATGAGTGGGGGAGGTGCAGGAATTGGGGGTGATCTGAGGGGTGAAGGTGCAGGAATTGGGGTGATCTGAGGGGTGAAGGTGCAGGAATTGGGGTGATCTGAGGGGTGAAGGTGCAGGAATTGGGGTGATCTGAGGGGTGAAGGTGCAGGAATTGGGGTGATCTGAGGGGTGAAGGTGCAGGAATTGGGGTGATCTGAGGGGTGAAGGTGCAGGAATTGGGGTGATCTGAGGGGTGAAGGTGCAGGAATTGGGGTGATCTGAGGGGTGAAGGTGCAGGAATTGGGGTGATCTGAGGGGTGAAGGAATTGGGGCTAAATTAAAAACAGTTATGCTCACCTGAACCTGGGAGCTGGCTGGCTGTTACTCCGCTCCCTGCCAATGTCCCTCGGCGTCCTGTATCCTGTATAGGACGTCATGACTCATGGAACCTTCAATGAATCTGTTCTGTTATCAGCCTTCTGCGCTGCAGAACTTAGACTGGGAGAGGGAGGGGAAATGCTGAGCCAATCCGAGCTCTTCTCCTTTGCACAGTGCTCTCGGTAAACACTGAACACATGCTTGCAGACGGAGAGAGTGATGACCTCATCAGTGTGCCGCACTTCACTCCCAGGTTGCGGGCAGGTTGGTGACCACACTGTATTGCCTAATTGCAATGAAGAGAAGTGTGGTCACCGGCACGTGGCTGCATTTGGCTCCGGGAACTTGCCCGGCTGTCGCCTTTTATTTTTGGGTTGGCTTGTGATGAATTGTAAAGCTGCGTCCTAACCTCTCTCTCTGTGTCTGCGCAGTGTCCGCCGAGCCGTGGATGAAGATGAGGACGCGGCTCAGGAGCGCCGGGCAGCTCGGTGCATCTGGATATCCGGGAAGAAGGGGCTGACCGAGAGGGAAGCGGCCGAGCTGATTGTGGAGGTGGCCCGGAAACTGTTGAGGGAAGACCTGGCAGGGATGGGGATACGGTGGGATCCCGACGGAAGCTTCGATTCCTCGCTCACCCCTTCTGGATCGTCTCCGGGCAACAGCGTCCATTCTCCCTCCGGGCAAGACAAGAGGTCAGAAAAGGCCTCGACGTCAGCCGGGAATCCACCGGAAAGTGATCCACGCGCGGGGAAAAGTGAACACACCGCAGATCCTGAGAGTTTCAAGACGACCACATTGACCAGCACTATGGGACCAGGACATGTACAAAACTCGGCGCAGGAGGCAACCTTACCTACCAAGAAGGAGGTACTCGTGCACCAGAATGATGGCTTGTCCACTGAACCCCCAATAACCAGAGCAAACGTTGCATTGGACACCAATAAAGAGAATATTCCAGAACCTTTGTCACATGCTTCCAATGAAACACAACCTAAGAGAACATTAACGAGTCCACCGATGACCGATCTTTTCAAGAACATTCGGGAGAAGGTGGACAATAAACCAAGAGGAGAATCTTCAGTTAGCATTGACCCGGACTCTGATGTTCTGCGATATGACCCGGTGATGAAAGGGACGGCTGGAGAGCAAAATAAGAAATTGCCCCTTTGTGAAATAAAAGATCCCTCACGGTATATACAAGGAGAACGTCCTGACGTAGAAGGTACAGGAGCTGCCAATGCATCACCACCAGCTCCCTCTGAGCCTTCCGACACGCTCCAGAAACCTCAATCTGTTCTTGGATCCATTCCCCTCAAACAAGAGGGGACGGAGGCCCCTTGTAGACCAACAGAGCCGACTTCTGAGACCTCGGAAACAAAAACCGTCCCGCGTTTCCTTGGAAACGTCCGCTCTCCAGATATCTGCGCGGCATCGAGGACTTTTGAGGACAGCTTTCAGTTGGACACTCAGACTGAGAAGTTGATGCAGCAGCAGGCGGCGCCGGAGACGGAGCGGCGAGACGGAGATTCAAAGCCGGAAGCTGAGCTGTCGCAAGAGATCTCCGGCACGCAGAGCCTGGCCGCCGTTGAGGTTGTTAGAGAGAGGGCACATGTTGATGCTGGAGATCCAAGAGGAGAACAAATGAGCCATTCAAGTCTGGTGACCGTGAATGGTGTTCAGGAAGGTTTAAATGGCTCAGGTGAGCCCAGAGAGGTCTCTGGAGGACCGGAAAGGGAGGCACCGTTGAAGAACTTTGAGACGTACTCATGGTTGAAGGGTAATGATGTTTCCCTCACAGACACGCAGCTCCAGAGCTTCTTTCAGACTTTACATACCCAACCTACAAAAGAGAGAAGTCCACCACAGAACCTTGACCGGGTCTCATCTGAGATACAGAACTATGTCGCTCCGGAAGAAGAAGATGGTTCACATTGTAATAAAGTTGCAGAAACGAGTCTGAACATGAGCGACAGTTTTCTGTTTGACAGCTTCAATGAGGATCTGGGTATTGTCCCTAAATTAGAGGAACCTGCCATAAACCCAGCAAGTGGAGGTGACAAAGAGCCAGAGGCTACGGTTCAGCTCGGTCTACCTGCTGAAGACATGACGGAAGAGCAGGAGCAACCCATGGAGTGTGGACAAGCATCACTTTCGTTCTCTCAGCTTGATTCATTCCAGATGGTGGAGGTTCTAGATCACGCAGAGCTACCTCAAGTCTCGCAGACTAAAATTCCCCAATGGCCAGACCCAGAAGCATGTGAGATCATGAATCTTGAAAAGAGTCTTGAAAGACAGGAGAGGATGGCCACAGTAAGAGATCATGAGTGGTCTGATCTCTCCTTCAGCTTGACACAAGGGATGCAAGAGCTTCTGGATCAGTGCCCAAGTCCTGCAGGCAATCGCAAGTCCCAAGACCCGCACATGACTCAACCACAACAGATCCTTGTGGATCCTTGTGTAAAAGAGATCTACCCAAAAGCCCTCAGCCAGGAACCACCTTTATGTTTAGGACCTGAATCTCCATCTATGGACCATCATTTTCTTGCTGCTGGTACTTGTAAGTCAACCCATAATGTTGCATCAGAAAAACCCAAGTCCAGACCGGAGAGCCGAAATGACCTCATTCCTCCAACGCCGCCCAGCGTGCCCACCTCAGGAATGATGATGGGAATGTCTTGTGTGAAATCTGGAAAGAGAGATGAGTTTGCTGAGGGCCTGATCTTCCCATCTCTTGATGTAGACGAGGAGATGTTGTTGGGGTCACAGAGTGAACTCGAGGAATATATGGAGGTTGGCGAGGATGAGCCTGTTCTGGATGAAGGTTTCTCTCTGCAGTTATCCCAGGACTCTGCCCCCCTCCCGCCGTCCAGCTCAGAGGAATTCGGCATCATCGACGTGGCCAGCGACCAGAATCTCTTTCAGACTTTTCTGAGGGAGTGGCGGAACCAGAAGACCTTCTCTTTGTCTGTGGCCTGCGAGAAGAGGACGCAACCAGCATCTTCCCGGTCCTGCATTGGAGGCAGGTTTAAACCAGGTGAGTGTTCTTTTTCCATTTCCCGCCATCATACGATCCATGCTCCCGCCCGCTGTGGGCTCCCCCCGTCGCCCGCTCTGGGCTCCCCCCGAAGTCCCGCCCGCTCTGGGCTCCCCCCGAAGTCCCGCCCGCTCTGGGCTCCCCCCGAAGTCCCGCCCGCTCTGGGCTCCCCCCGAAGTCCCGCCCGCTCTGGGCTCCCCGAGTTTGTTGTACAATTGGTGCTTTTATTTTGCTTAATTGCTGTTTTTGTGATCTCTCAGCTCGGTCGCCGAGGCACATACAAGCCAAGGAAGACGGCCTACCCATCCAGGGCTGGGATGACGTCCTGCTGGTCGGCGTGGCTGTGTGCTGGGGAGGGAAGGATGCTTATTACCTGTCCTTACAGCGAGAGCAGGATCAGTCAGGTGAGCCGCTGGGGGTAAGCTTGGTGATTGGCAGGTCCTCTGCATTGGTATATCTATGACTAAGCCCGTATGGGTGAAACGCGTCAAGGGTGGGCGGTCTTTGGACGGGGAATCCTTCACGTTTGAAGCTTTAATCCGCATTAAATAAAGTTAAGTCGGTGTTAAGTACAACAGTTCTGTCCTACCTCTCAGGGACAGAGAGGTAGGACAGAACTGCGGTTGTATGCGGTTATTTAGTTGTATCCTCTCCCTGTCTGAGGTGAACTGTCAGCCCAGTTTCGAGCTGTAAGGCCCCCATAGAGGATGACCTAACCTCTGCCGTAGTCCAAGGATAACAACAGACACTGTGTCAGTGGCAAAGCTTTGTTATGCCTCTTTTTGCATGTCTGTTAACAGCACTGAGTTCATGCAGGAGATAGGACAGCCTCTGTGGGGGTCTAACAGTTTGATGCTTCTGCTCTGACAGGGAGAGAATACAAGTAAATGGAAAAAACATTTCATCTTTGAGATGTAAGGCTGCACAACTATAACAGTTCAGTGCGAGTGACAATTGGCAGGCAAAGTGGAGAAAATACATTTGTTCTTGTCCATTGAGGGACACAGGAATTCAGTTGGGTTAAACTGCCACCTGCAGGAGGAGTGGGCACTGGCAACCAGAAAAATCAAAAGCCAGCCCCCAGTTTTACCCTTCCTCCACCCGGCATGCATCCATTTTTTTGCTAGTGTCATAGGAGGATGGACATATTTTTGGTCTTCTTCATCCTGGTCTGGAGGATCAGGGTGATCGGTGGTCTTCTTCATCCTGGTCTGGAGGAGCAGGGTGATTGGTGGTCTTCTCCATACTGGTCTGGAGGACCAGGGTGATCAGTGGTCTTCACCCTGGTCTGGAGGATCAGGGTGGTCAGTGAACTTCTTCATCCTGGTCTGGAGGATCAGGGTGATCGGTGGTCTTCTCCATTCTGGTTTGGGGAACCAGGGTGATCGGTGGTCTTCTCCATTCTGGTTTGGGGAACCAGGGTGATCGGTGGTCTTCTCCATCCTGGTTTGGGGAACCAGGGTGATCAGTGGTCTTAATCCTGGTCTAGAGGATCAGGGTGATCAGTGAACTTCTTCATCCTGGTCTGGAGGATCAGGGTCATTGGCATTGGTTGTCTTCCCTATCCTGGCCTGGAGGATCAGGGTTATCGGTGGTCTTCATCCTGGTCTGGAGGATCAGGGTGATTGGTGGTCTTCCCTATCGTGGTCTGCAGGATCAGGGTAATCCTCAGTTCTTTCTCCTTGGTCATGTTGGCAGGTTCCCACATCTAGTAGGAGGCGATCTGTCATCCATGCACCTCTGAGTGTTGATCCTTCAGATGGCCCCTCGGTTGGACTGCTTTTGGACACCCAGACTTTATATGAATTCCCTTTTTCCTGGACAAGGAAGAACATTTGATTTTTGTACTTGCCATAAAAGTCAATTTGAAGGTCCCGCCCCTCTGTGGTTTTTCCGTTCATGCCGGGTAGACGAGGTGTCCTACAGAGGCCGGCCTATGATTTTTTAGGTTTGCCATTGTCCATTCCTCCCGCAGGCAGCAGTATAATCCGACTATATGTGTTTCTTTCATGTTGGTGGGTGTGATATCCAGTTTTGGGTTTCCTTTCTTCGTAGACATTAGCGCCAGCCTGGCCCCTCCTCCGCTGGATCAGAACCTCTCGGTGAAGGACCGGCTCTGGCACCTCCAGTCCACATTGCAGCTGAAGGAAGCTCAGAGGGCCATCATGGTGTACAACTTCATTGAGCAGTACAAGGCCCTCGTCCTGGGCTGCCAGGCCTCCATCACAGGACACTTCCAGGACCCAAAGGTGCGTCCTCCTCTCTTTATTTAATTATCATGTTGATGAGGGGGGATGGGAACCAGTACAGAGCACCTCCTCCAGCACAGGGCACCCCCTTTCCTCCAGTACAGGGCACCTCCCCCTCTCCCCTGTGCAGGGCACGCCCTTATCCTCTGGCACAGAGCACCTCCTCCAGTACAGGGCACCCCCTTATCCTCTGGCACAGAGCACCTCCTCCAGTACAGGGCACCCCCTTATCCTCTGGCACAGAGCACCTCCTCCAGTACAGGGCACCCCCTTATCCTCTGGCACAGAGCACCTCCTCCAGTACAGGGCACCTCCCCCTCTCCCCTGTACAGGGCACCCCCTTATCCTCTGGTACAGGGCACCCCCTTATCCTCTGGCACAGTGCACCTCCCCCTCTCCCCTGTACGGGGAACCCTCTTATCCTCTGGCACAGAGCACCTCCTCCAGTACATGGCACCTCCCCCTCTCCCATGTACAGTGCACCCCTTTATCCTTATCCCCTGCTGGGCATTCATTGTAGAGACAGCTCTATGATATGTTCTGCCCCCTGCTGGGCATTCATTGTAGAGACAGCTCTATGATATGTTCTGCCCCCCGCTGGGCATTCATTGTAGAGACAGCTCTATGATATGTTCTGCCCCCTGCTGGGCATTCATTGTAGAGACAGCTCTATGATATGTTCTGCCCCCTGCTGGGCATTCATTGTAGAGACAGCTCTATGATATGTTCTGCCCCCTGCTGAGCATTCATTGTAGAGACAGCTCTATGATGCATTCTGCCCCCTGCTGGGCATTAATCATAGAGACAGCTCTGCAATTAATCCCCAGCAGAGGACAAAATTTGTCTGTGGGTGGAGTGTCCTTAACGGTGCTGGAACAATAAAGTTGTTTTCAGAGCATACTGAACAGCAGTGTGCGGCTTCCTAGGCTATGTAGATAGAAAGCGGCTGCAGGAGATCAGCAGTGCCGAGATGGGAGCACCAAGCACTCTAATTGCCCTCCGGTTGGGATTCACAACCACTTTGTGCCGTCGGTGCAGCGGAACCTGGTGATGGGAAATCTCCTGTAATCCCAATTCTTCTCTTCTGTAGGTGGCCTGCTGGTTGCTGGATCCCGGCTCCAAGGAACGGACCATCCACAACATGGTGGCAAACTTCCTGCCGCATGAGCTCCCCCTGCTGGACGGAGTGGGGACGGGCCAAGGAGTTCAGAGCCTGGGGCTCTGTGCTGATGGTGACCAGTCGGGGCGTTACAGGGCGGCCATAGAAGCGGTTCTCGTCTTCAGCATCATGACCAAGCTGAACGGGCTGCTAGAAAGAGAGAAGCTGCAAGGTAATGACCCCTCCCCCTCTCATCTTAAAGGGCATGTCCTCCAATTGACCACTTGTGTTGGTGTATGAAGGCCTTTAAGTGTTTGAAGGGTTCAGGTATTGGGGGACAGTTGTCATCTTAGTGACATGTTAGGATCCTGTTTGCTCCGTATCACTAAAGGCCCAGTCACGGACTAGTTTCCTGGAACTTCTGGGGGTTCCAGGGGGAGGGGCAGAGACACAAACTACTGGCGGAAATCTCACCATTGTGGGAGGGGCAGAGACACAAACTACTGGAGGAAATCTCACCATTGTGGGAGGGGCAGAGACCCAAAATACTGGGGGAAATCATCATTGTGGGAGGGGCAGAGACACAAACTACTGGAGGAAATCTCACCATTGTGGGAAGGGCAGAGACACAAACTACTGGGGGAAATCTCACCATTGTGGGAGGGGCAGAGACACAAACTACTGGAGGAAATCTCCCCATTGTGGGAGGGGCAGAGACACAAACTACTGGAGGAAATCTCACCATTCTGGGAGGGGCAGAGACACAAACTACTAAGGAGGAAATCTTCCCATTGTGGGAGGGGCAGAGACAAACTACCGGAGGAAATCTCACCATTCTGGGAGGGGCAGAGACAAACTACCGGAGGAAATCTCACCATTCTGGGAGGGGCAGAGACAAACTACCGGAGGAAATCTCACCATTCTGGGAGGGGCAGAGACAAACTACCGGAGGAAATCTCACCATTCTGGGAGGGGCAGAGACAAACTACCGGAGGAAATCTCACCATTCTGGGAGGGGCAGAGACAAACTACCGGAGGAAATCTCACCATTCTGGGAGGGGCAGAGACAAACTACCGGAGGAAATCTCACCATTCTGGGAGGGGCAGAGACAAACTACCGGAGGAAATCTCACCATTCTGGGAGGGGCAGAGACAAACTACCGGAGGAAATCTCACCATTCTGGGAGGGGCAGAGACAAACTACCGGAGGAAATCTCACCATTCTGGGAGGGGCAGAGACAAACTACCGGAGGAAATCTCACCATTCTGGGAGGGGCAGAGACAAACTACCGGAGGAAATCTCACCATTCTGGGAGGGGCAGAGACAAACTACCGGAGGAAATCTCACCATTCTGGGAGGGGCAGAGACAAACTACCGGAGGAAATCTCACCATTCTGGGAGGGGCAGAGACAAACTACCGGAGGAAATCTCACCATTCTGGGAGGGGCAGAGACAAACTACCGGAGGAAATCTCACCATTCTGGGAGGGGCAGAGACAAACTACCGGAGGAAATCTCACCATTCTGGGAGGGGCAGAGACAAACTACCGGAGGAAATCTCACCATTCTGGGAGGGGCAGAGACAAACTACCGGAGGAAATCTCACCATTCTGGGAGGGGCAGAGACAAACTACCGGAGGAAATCTCACCATTCTGGGAGGGGCAGAGACAAACTACCGGAGGAAATCTCACCATTCTGGGAGGGGCAGAGACAAACTACCGGAGGAAATCTCACCATTCTGGGAGGGGCAGAGACAAACTACCGGAGGAAATCTCACCATTCTGGGAGGGGCAGAGACAAACTACCGGAGGAAATCTCACCATTCTGGGAGGGGCAGAGACAAACTACCGGAGGAAATCTCACCATTCTGGGAGGGGCAGAGACAAACTACCGGAGGAAATCTCACCATTCTGGGAGGGGCAGAGACAAACTACCGGAGGAAATCTCACCATTCTGGGAGGGGCAGAGACAAACTACCGGAGGAAATCTCACCATTCTGGGAGGGGCAGAGACAAACTACCGGAGGAAATCTCACCATTCTGGGAGGGGCAGAGACAAACTACCGGAGGAAATCTCACCATTCTGGGAGGGGCAGAGACAAACTACCGGAGGAAATCTCACCATTCTGGGAGGGGCAGAGACAAACTACCGGAGGAAATCTCACCATTCTGGGAGGGGCAGAGACAAACTACCGGAGGAAATCTCACCATTCTGGGAGGGGCAGAGACAAACTACCGGAGGAAATCTCACCATTCTGGGAGGGGCAGAGACAAACTACCGGAGGAAATCTCACCATTCTGGGAGGGGCAGAGACAAACTACCGGAGGAAATCTCACCATTCTGGGAGGGGCAGAGACAAACTACCGGAGGAAATCTCACCATTCTGGGAGGGGCAGAGACAAACTACCGGAGGAAATCTCACCATTCTGGGAGGGGCAGAGACAAACTACCGGAGGAAATCTCACCATTCTGGGAGGGGCAGAGACAAACTACCGGAGGAAATCTCACCATTCTGGGAGGGGCAGAGACAAACTACCGGAGGAAATCTCACCATTCTGGGAGGGGCAGAGACAAACTACCGGAGGAAATCTCACCATTCTGGGAGGGGCAGAGACAAACTACCGGAGGAAATCTCACCATTCTGGGAGGGGCAGAGACAAACTACCGGAGGAAATCTCACCATTCTGGGAGGGGCAGAGACAAACTACCGGAGGAAATCTCACCATTCTGGGAGGGGCAGAGACAAACTACCGGAGGAAATCTCACCATTCTGGGAGGGGCAGAGACAAACTACCGGAGGAAATCTCACCATTCTGGGAGGGGCAGAGACAAACTACCGGAGGAAATCTCACCATTCTGGGAGGGGCAGAGACAAACTACCGGAGGAAATCTCACCATTCTGGGAGGGGCAGAGACAAACTACCGGAGGAAATCTCACCATTCTGGGAGGGGCAGAGACAAACTACCGGAGGAAATCTCACCATTCTGGGAGGGGCAGAGACAAACTACCGGAGGAAATCTCACCATTCTGGGAGGGGCAGAGACAAACTACCGGAGGAAATCTCACCATTCTGGGAGGGGCAGAGACAAACTACCGGAGGAAATCTCACCATTCTGGGAGGGGCAGAGACAAACTACCGGAGGAAATCTCACCATTCTGGGAGGGGCAGAGACAAACTACCGGAGGAAATCTCACCATTCTGGGAGGGGCAGAGACAAACTACCGGAGGAAATCTCACCATTCTGGGAGGGGCAGAGACAAACTACCGGAGGAAATCTCACCATTCTGGGAGGGGCAGAGACAAACTACCGGAGGAAATCTCACCATTCTGGGAGGGGCAGAGACAAACTACCGGAGGAAATCTCACCATTCTGGGAGGGGCAGAGACAAACTACCGGAGGAAATCTCACCATTCTGGGAGGGGCAGAGACAAACTACCGGAGGAAATCTCACCATTCTGGGAGGGGCAGAGACAAACTACCGGAGGAAATCTCACCATTCTGGGAGGGGCAGAGACAAACTACCGGAGGAAATCTCACCATTCTGGGAGGGGCAGAGACAAACTACCGGAGGAAATCTCACCATTCTGGGAGGGGCAGAGACAAACTACCGGAGGAAATCTCACCATTCTGGGAGGGGCAGAGACAAACTACCGGAGGAAATCTCACCATTCTGGGAGGGGCAGAGACAAACTACCGGAGGAAATCTCACCATTCTGGGAGGGGCAGAGACAAACTACCGGAGGAAATCTCACCATTCTGGGAGGGGCAGAGACAAACTACCGGAGGAAATCTCACCATTCTGGGAGGGGCAGAGACAAACTACCGGAGGAAATCTCACCATTCTGGGAGGGGCAGAGACAAACTACCGGAGGAAATCTCACCATTCTGGGAGGGGCAGAGACAAACTACCGGAGGAAATCTCACCATTCTGGGAGGGGCAGAGACAAACTACCGGAGGAAATCTCACCATTCTGGGAGGGGCAGAGACAAACTACCGGAGGAAATCTCACCATTCTGGGAGGGGCAGAGACAAACTACCGGAGGAAATCTCACCATTCTGGGAGGGGCAGAGACAAACTACCGGAGGAAATCTCACCATTCTGGGAGGGGCAGAGACAAACTACCGGAGGAAATCTCACCATTCTGGGAGGGGCAGAGACAAACTACCGGAGGAAATCTCACCATTCTGGGAGGGGCAGAGACAAACTACCGGAGGAAATCTCACCATTCTGGGAGGGGCAGAGACAAACTACCGGAGGAAATCTCACCATTCTGGGAGGGGCAGAGACAAACTACCGGAGGAAATCTCACCATTCTGGGAGGGGCAGAGACAAACTACCGGAGGAAATCTCACCATTCTGGGAGGGGCCGAGACACAAACTACTGGGAGGAATCTCACCATTGTGGGAGGGGCAGAGACACAAACTAGTTCACTTGTGAATGGAGCTGCCCTTTAGAGCCACCTTGGAATTGGAACCCCCCCAGGGATGGTCTGTGATGTAGTTGTATCATTCAGGCTGTTCATCCTCAGATGTATTCTGCAAAGTGGAGATGCCCACTCACTACTGCCTGGCGCTCCTGGAGCTGAATGGCATCGGATTCAGTATGGAGGAATGTGAGACACAGAAACACGTCATGCAGGCCAAGCTGAACGAGACCGAGGCCCAGGCCTACCAACTGGCCGGGCACACCTTCTCACTGACCAGCCCGGACGACGTTGCTCAGGTACCCGACAAACTCCATGCATCTAGTAAAGTTGACTCAGCACTGTGATGTCGGTGGTTATGAAATGCAGAAAGGCTTTTTTTTTTCGCCTCTGATGACCATTGGCAAGCAGCGTCCTTGGGCCCACAACAGGCCTGTCTTTTCCCTCCTCACCTCCCGTGGTGTTACCCCCGAGCATTCCATGAAATGTACACCGGGGGTGGGGGGGGG